ACTACAGGGTCGTGACCTTAAGCAGGTCTAGGTGGTGTGGAGGTTAGCCGGACAACTTGTAGGCAGTCAGTTAAATAGAACAACAGATCTTTATTAGGCGTTAATACAACAAGACCATACCAGCCAGGTCTCCATGGCTCTACTCTGTCCGTACATACATGTGCTGGGTTAGGTAGTCGCTGGTGCCAGCACATTACAATGGTACGGTCTCTCCTGGACAGATACACGAGCAGCATGTAATGGCTGCCACTACACTCACACACTAGGAGTCTACAACTACTACAATAGTAGGACAACACCCCCTAGCGGTGCTATATCCCAATAATAAGGGTTGTTACATCAAGCCAAACCTTTGTAAGCCGCAAAGACCATCAAACTCAGAAGTGAGTGGTTGTTAAATGGGACAGTGTAGCCTGCAACAGGGATATTTTGGACAGCATTGTTTGACAGAGACAGGAGGATTTTTTTTAATATCTATATTAATAATGCAGCATAACTTACATTAAATATATTATGTAGTTGTATATTGTATGTATATTATGTATATTATGTAGAGAACAGAACAAAAGGCAAAAACATCCAAAGAAGAGTTTTGAATGTTCTTCAGGAAACCTGGAGAACTATTCCTGACGACTGCCTAAAGAAATGACAAGAAAGCTGCCTGCGAGAGCTCAGGCTGTGTTTAAGGATAAAGCTGGTCACATTAAACGTTGACTTTGAAGCTCATTAGAACAGTACAAACTCCGTTTTCCCCCCCCTTATTTCCTGTATTTATCTTTGTTTTTTTAAGGGGTTGCTCATGACCTTTGGACATTACTATAGCTATCAAAAGAACATCCTGGAGTGCCTTCCCTTTTTCTCTCAGCTCATTTCAGCACAGATTTTTACTGGACCACCAGGGGGAGCCATGTGTACTGATAAGAGAACTATTCCTGAGAGTTGAGCGCACTGATGTGGCTGATTCAGGTCAGTGTTACGGTACAGTGATGCAGAATGAAGTCACAGCTCACACAGAGTCTGGGAAAGGCAAGCGTCAATGTTTTTGTCCCGTGCCTGATATTACCATCATTTTACCATGTGACAGTTTGACATGAAAACATTATGATGCCATATCCAAAAGATAATTTTAAGTTACTGCAGTTGCAGGAAGCTGGTGCTAAAGCAGACCTGTAAGCAGAGACGGACACAAGGTGAGAGTGTTTTGATAAGTTTTATTTTACTAAAAAAAAAAAATGGGGAGAAAGTTCACATTAACATTTAGCCTCAATATTACAGTATATTGAAATTCTTCTCAAAGGAAGTAAAATACAACATTTTATTTTCTTTTAACCTTATATTAAAAATATCAAATAGTACTCATCTAGCAGTGCTTGCAGTATTTTAAGATATGCTGCAGGCTTGATAGCAGAAAGGTTGGCTTTATACAGAGCACAGAGGGTTTTCTTTTATGCAGTTATGTATTTATTTACCTTTTTTCTTTGCTTTGCAGAGACAGCCTACCTTTTTGTTATCTGGCCTAGTTTGATTGACAAGCTGAACATGCAATGAGGGCAACTACACAAAATCATCCTACAGATTATACCGGTGCAGTAAGACACTTGGAACAGGCTTGCAATGCAACAACAAAAAACCAACCAAACCAAAAAAGCTAAATGTTCCATTCGTTGTGTTCTCTCCAAACAACCGTCATGTCACAGGGTGCCCTCTCTCCTCTACAAAGTGATCTGAAATGAATTCTGGGTGTATTTTCAGTACAGCTTACCAACCATGGACATGGTGAATAAGAAAAGTAGACTAAAAAATAACATCACTACCTGAATAAACTTCAAAAAACACACTCCTTAGAGCATTTCTCTAGTTGCACAGAACTGTACAGGCACACGTATTATATATATTTAAAATAAATAGGGCTAATTTGGCCGAGACTCAGTGAGGAGGGCACTTCTCTCTTGCTTGTCAGTACAGAGAGAGGGAAAAGAAAAATTCCAGCCATTTACTGGGACGGCCGTTTTCTATAATTCTTGTGTTCCCTTAAACACGCAAGTACACACACACGTCATGTACATCCACACTGTCATTCAGACACATTGGCCTCCTCCTACCTCACACACACACACACACACACACACACACACAGAAAGCCCAGGGAAGGAAACAAAAATCAGGTGCTAAACATGTAAATGCCTTTATTTGTGGAATGCCTCTGACCAAGAAAACAAAAACAGAAAGTAGAGTTTGAGTCGACTGGTTTTTCAAATCATCAAACCAGAACTTGGCAAAGGGATGACAACACCCCACACGCCGAGGCATGATCCTGCACCACTGCGCCAGGCTGTGGCCTCCAGACCCTTGTCCCCTCCCATTTTCCCCACAGTGGTCCCATAACTCCCTGTCTTCTTGCCAGTGGGAAGCGGCTGGGCTCTCCTCACGTTTACAGGACACGACACATGACTATTAAGACGCCCCGGAAATCTCCTTCACATGCCCGGCTCCATCTCCTCACAGGACTGGGTGTGGTAGGGTCGGGTGGATGTGGGGTTTAAACGGAAGGGAGATGTGAAAGGGGAGGGCTGGGGGTGGGGGATTGGGGGGCTGTACAGTTGAGACGAGCTGCCTGCTGTGGGCGAAAGAGAGCTGAGGCAGGATTACTGACTGCTGGGGACCAATGTTTGTATGGAGTCTCTCACTCTCTCACTCTTTCGTCTCCAGGTGAAGCCCTGTGGGAGGCGGCCGGGGATTAAACATCGGTGGAGAAGTAGAGTGTGTTTCGCTTCAGCTCAGCATAGGAGATGGGAGGATGCTGCAGGTAGTAGAGCAGCACCTGGACCTAAGAGAGGAGAAAACAAGGCTGTATGAGTACAGCTTCTGCTGGAACAATTTGCGCTTGGATGAGGGTGAAAATGATCATTCTGGATTTTGTGACAGAAACATTACAACCAACACATTATTTTTTTTAAATATGGAAGCAGATATGGCTCATGAGCAGGCTGCTGTGATGTGCTTTGCTTTAAAATATCTCTGAATTTTTACATTTATTTTTACATTTTTACAATTTACAGGGCAGACAACTTGCTGCTGACCTAAAAATGAGTAAGGAAAGGTTGTGGCAGTAAGCCATGGACGGAAAGTCACCTTTGACCATTATTAAAAAGAAAATCAGCGTCATAAACATAGATGAATCAATCAATCTAATGTTCTTCCTTCTCTGCTCCATAAATTCCCCTTAATCTCCCCTTTAATAACCAGTTTTATCATAAGGGCACATGTCTGGTTAATGCTGTCGCAGCTCATCAGGAAAATCACCTCCTAGTGAGAATGTTGCCACTTTGCTAGTTGGAGGGTCTCTAATTAAAAAAACAAAACAAAAAATACAAAGGAATCCATCACTAATTCACCCAGATTATACTTCGATTACATGCAGGATGAAGCACTGGCCTCATCTCTCTGACATGTTGTATTCTTAATGCAGTAAACATTTAGACTTTAAATAAGCCTCAGTGCAAACACTGGGCTTCACTGTAATGGACAGATGGGACCGTGCATGTGCACTCTGCCCCCATTTATGATGATTTACTCTGGATGTTGTTTATTCTGCCAAGCGGAGCTATTTGTGAACAGGAAACACATCTCTTTGCAGAGATGAATGGATAGCCTGCAGTCTAAATACAGCTGGGGTGGGTGGGGGTCAGTGACATTGGTCACTGGGTGATGTGGGAGTGAAATTCATCTGCAGATCACAAGCAGCAGCTGTGATACGCACATACGCACCAATTTAACATCGACTACTTGTACCTGCTAGGCCAATCGATTTTTTTTTTTAATCTCAATTAACAAAGTGCAGCTTTGTATTCAACTTTCAAAAACATCCATGCACCTGTGCCATGACGTCATGTGACCAGATGTCAGAGGCGGAGGTGATGTGCTGTCCCTTCGCGCTCTCTGACTCTGAGGGCCTGAGCAGAGTGGGGCCGAACACGGTGGCCAGGTTATGAAGGGACATCTTGTTGATGGGCTCCTTCTCAGCCACCCTGCAGAAACAACAACCAACAGGCACCGTTAGATTCTCTGTGATGAGCTTAGTCTTATGTATAAAAGTGACTGGAACAGGTTAAACATTTTTGTAAGTAAGAAGCGAATAAGTA